CACCAACTTTGCTTCTCACCAAAGGAATTTATTCGCTATTTTTGTGCTGTTGTCTAATAGAAGTCACGAATGTCATATCGTAATCATGTTTTTCTCACGAATTCGCATTACGATCGCGCATAAATTGGTATTTTCGTACCGCGACTCCCACTTAAAGACTCTTACATTCTCGCGTTATCCGTTTTCGTTCCATCAGATATTTGATCCTACCGTTGTTCGCTCAAGTTTGATCAAAAACGGACTCCGTTTAGAATCACAGAATATATAGATAGTTTAAAAATATGTAATATGAAAACACAAGTTTACTCAAATTCTTTTTTAATCCAAACCTTTAAGATTTCAACTTTATTTCAAAAGTATGAAACTTTAAGGATTTGATAGAGCATCATAGTGCGTTATAGAGTAGATGCGTCTATTAATTATTGTTTGGTTTATCTACAAGGTACGAATTTTGATTAGGAAACGCATATTGAAGTTTTGGAACATTTCTCAGGAGTTTGTTACACCGCTGAACAAACTTCTGAAATTTTACATAGATAAAAACTTGCTATCTTCAAATTTGAACAGTTGTACTACTGCTGAGAAATGTGAGTAACAAGAATTGGAAACTATAAGCAGACTTATGGTAAAGACTCAAAGTTGGTGAAAAGTCACATTTTTTGCAAAAAACTGCTTCAAACTTTATTAACCATACATGACAAATTCGATTAAATAAGAAGGATATACTAACTGATAGAGCACACTCGTTATAGTAATACTATACGAAATCCAATATTGCACACTAGACTAAATCAGAACAAAGTTCCATTATTCTTGGCTGAAGCTGGTAGAAAAATATTGAAATGTTGCTTTTTACACTGTAACCTTGAATTACTTTCAAGTTTATAGAAAATCGATCGATTTTTATAAATAATTTTCAAGATTTCTCCATGGTGACAGTACACAACATATTCACCGTTTTGTTTTGCGTCTGCAGAAGTATATTAAAAGTGCAAAGTTCGACGAAAACTGACGCTTTTCTTTCCAGATTAATTTTATTTTTATTTTTAGATTACTACTTTTTTAGATTAAGTGTCGGCATGCTCTCGTACACAATAATCTTGAAAATTCTTTATAAAAGATCGTTGTTGATTTTCAGAAAGTCCATATATAAAATCGCCCAGGATTTTCTATTTTATAGAAAATTGAATTCACAAGAATCTAGAAAATCCTCCTTGATTTTCCAGATTCTTGAAAATTATTTCTAGAAAATCAATGTCGATTTCTATAAAATAGAAAATCCTGGGCGATTTTATATACGGACTTTCTGAAAATCAACGACAATTTTTTATAAATAATTTTCAGGATTACAGTGTAGTCAACTGAAATTACAAAAATCATTTTTGATTTCTATATAAATCATATTAAAATTATTCTACATCAGTCAAAAGAAATGACTTCTATGTTTATACTATTCTTAGCTTATAATATAAGTTTAAGAACTTTATTAGATTTAGAAAAAGATCGTTAATTATTTTTTCTAATATATTCTTATTTTAAAATCCTTCTTAAAAATTATTTTGTCTCATGTAAGGAATTAATTCCTGAGTCTGAAATTTCTAAAGAGCTCAAAACGAGCTCTTAAGCTTCGAAAAATTCATATTTAATTCTTTAGTTTTTCAGAGAACCTTTACAAGTTTTCTAAAAGCTAGAAATGCTTGTTGATCAGACATTTTCTTTTGACATAGTCTGATTTTTTATAAGAGCAAATCTCTGAGATCAGGAACTAGGCACACTGTCTGTGAAACACCTGATTCAATGCAGTGAATCAGTTATATATATATATATATATATATATCAAAATGTTTCTGTTCAAATAATCTTGAACAGAAACTCTCAACTTTGGACTTGCCGCAACCCCTAAGTAGTGAATTGCTCTTGCTTAAAATTCTCCTCTCAAAGGAACAGTATTTGATAGTGTACCGTAGTGTTATTGAATATATTCTTTCAACTAAAAGGTTTATGATGTGAAATTTGGTCTGCATCCTTAGTACACTCGATCCTCGTCTTCCTTTCTTCTCCTTTTATGTCTTTTTTACTTTCTGTTTCTTATCTAATAGAATGATATAATCGTTGACCATAATTTGCGTGCATAGTTCAACGCTCTGACTGAAGCTATAGAGACTGCCTTGAAATGTAATTCGGAATAAGTTGTTCTTCGTAACATGAAAAGCCTCATTCAGATCGGGTATATAAACATAGTTATCGCTGTGTGGGAAAATGAATGGTGTTCAAGTAGCATCTTGATATTTAACATAGATCTTGTGTAATGCATGTCCAATTGACGCAGGAGGAATTTGAACGAGTGTTGCTGATACGGCTATAAAACAGATAGCAGTTATCGAAGCAATACATGAAATAGCCTCAGTATTATCTATCGATACCGAGAGACATGGGCAGTGCTAACATGATGGTATCCATTAACATATGCATGTTTTTTATAAAATTCGATTTTCAGCGGAAAATAAAAAAACTAAGGTTGAATCATTTCGATAAGAGGTTGACTAACAACTTTTATAGATATATATAGTTCAAAAACAGATTTTCTTTCAATTCGGAAGTGCAGGTGCACCCTAATTTCACCACTATTACGAAATCTTGACGTCATTGAGAAAACAAACAGAAACGTTGATGTAAGGAAGTGAGCTGTTGGTAGTTCCGCCGTTAACTTTTTCTGTCCTACAGTCCGTGGGCTCTTGAAATATAGGCGCTTACGAAGTTGATTTTATTGTCAAATGCATCTCCATTACAAATTCCACTTTCCTTGGAAAGAACAAAGACGCTCGGAAAAGAGTTCTGAGAATTGATCAGTACTCAACCTTATGCCATACAATAGAAACCTACTCGAATTGTCCAAACAGAAATTATCAATATTATTTGCAATGTGTAGAAGAAGAGAAATATTAACGATGAACAGAAAACATTATTTCAACTACGCAATGTGCTTATCAAACATATTTAAAAAATGGCACAAGAAAGCGAAAACGAAAACAGTATCTAGTTGTCTGTTGTTGGTTACCGCAAGACTATACAGTTACTATGACAAAGCTTTTTTGTTCTTTTGTTTTCTCTCTCATTCTTTCTCCATCCACAGCTAGGTAGTATGCAATTATGCATATCGTATCTGTTTTGACTACCTACACTCATTATTTGTAATTATTTTTTTGGTTACTGCTGCAGAGTAATAATCAGTAAAATGTGGTGATCAATAAATGCAGTATATGCGTTCTCAGACAGCCAGAAAGTGCAAATCTCTACAGAAAGTATGGTAATGCATCGGATGAAACTAAAAATTGTTCGGAAAAAAGATTTAGTTTTTAGATATCTTTTCTCCTTAAAATCAAGTCGGTCACATTTTCCAGGCTGATGGCATATCAATGCACTTCTGTAGTATTCAGGTTTTTTCATTAGAAACCCACTGTATACAACCATTAGATCGGTCGATCTCGAAAACCTATAAAGAAATGAATTTCAGATGTCAAGAGTTCTCTTTTTCTAGAATCAGAGCAGTTTTTGTTTCAGAAGGATTGAACGCAGCATTTTCTGTCATAAACAGAATAAAAAAAATATATAAATTAAAAAAACGACTGAAAATCAAAAAAAATAAACGGCTATGAAAATATCTTTTGTAAAATCTTGAAGTCAAAGAATGTTAGTTGGAAAATAATTTTAAACAATTAAGTTTTCACTTCTACCAAGTGCAATTGAATTCTGTTTAAGTATACGTTCTTCTGCATTACGTGCTTCATCAGTTGATATAACAATAAATCTGTTTAATCTTAAACCAAATTTAATATATTGATTCTTTTCATCTTTAACTTTGTCAATTTCATTTGCTAAATGTTTTAAATTTTTTATTTTAATATCATTTACAGAGAATACAAACGAATGAGCATAATTAGATGAATCTAAACCCATATTGACATTGTCAACCAGAATTTGATTTATAATAACAATTTGTTGTCCAATAAATTCTAGACGATTATGAAATGAATACATATTATGTAAATTAATTGGAATTTCACCAGACGGTTGATATTCACTGAATTGATTCAAGTACGGCAGTGACAGAGTAGTAAAGACAATACCACCGTAAATCAAATATTCAGGTTGTTGATCGTGTAGATGACATGGCATTAAATAGGTGAAGCCGTCGTTTAAGGTACAGTTGACGTGGAGTTCTTTACCTGAGAGAGTAGAAAACAAATGATATCGAGGTTTATTCATTTTTCGGCCAAAACAAAAAAAGCACAGAACTGTAAAGGTTAAAAAAGATCGATCTTTTGATTTTCAAGTAGGAATACATCAATTCCAGCTTTTCTTTGCAGTCTTGACCTCGAAAACTTTTGACTGCGATGTTTTTAATCCACGAACCCTTTTAAACCCAAAATCTTTGATACATTGTGCCTTTTGATCCTCAAAGCATTCGAATTCAAAGGGCAGAACTGTTGAACTTCAAAGTCCACAATTAAAGTCTAGTTTACGCAATTTAGATACTTTATTTTCTTGAACGACGTCATTCTGAAGTGTTTCGTTTTGCAAAGGTTTAGAAAACGGAGTTGACAGCCGATTTTTTACTGAAAAAAACGTTGTCCGATCCGTTCGATGACAATTTCTGATCTTTTCAAAAACTCATATTTGTTTACTTCTAACGGCAGGAGCATAAACTAAAATAATCACACTCGGACGTTAATATCCCGCTTCAGTCGCACATTTAGTGAAGAATAATACAAA